CCATAAAGGTACCGTAACTGAGTCCAAAAAAGTTGATATCCTTGTCGCTCCCATAAAGTGCATCGGCCATGGTGACGATGTCTCGAACATTGGATGTGGTGCTGATACTATTATAATTATTCAATATACCGAACATCAAATGGTACGGATAGCTCTGACGATACTCACTAGGTTAGATTGGCGCCATTCTTGCTCTTGAATGCTTCATCGAACTTTTGCAGACCCTGGTCTATAATGGAAGCTTGACTCCGGCTATAAATCATTAGTACCCATGAGGACCAGACTAGTTGAAACTGACTAGAACGCTGCATCGCTATCAGTGGTTAGGTTTCCATGACTTTCATATTGGCCGGGATGTATTGTTTCTCCCCAGATTTCCATTTTCTCCGCGACGGTCAGATCCTTGATGAAGGGTTCCGAACTCCAAACACCCCCTAAACGGCGCTTCATCTCAATAAATAAATGGGACTCATAAAATGGTGAACATACTCGGGTCCCAGGAGATAAAGTCCCAGTCTGGACCCCATTTTGCGGCCAGTTCACTGCCTAATTGGGCTATGGAGGCTGTACCAGGACCACCAGGGCCGCCTGGATTGACAAAGATACCCCCGCGACTAGGCTGCTGAGTTGCAGGTATGCGAGCCATTTGCAAGCTAATCGTTCCCTTGCTAGCATCTGCATAGTCAAAAGGGACTCTACATCAAGTCCGTTTAGTGAGTGAAATCTCGAGGGAAGGACCGCTTACGATATTTTGGCGCACTCCAGAGGCGGCTTGTTGAGTTCCAGATAGACGAGGAGGAAGACATCATTGCACTGTTGAACAGACCAAGAGATTGGGTCCCTCTTAACGACGGTAGCGAGTGTGCACGTTGCACCCCACAGAAAAATGGCAGCCCAGGTGTGTAGTTTGAACATTTTATGGATAAACCTCAATCAGGCCTTTATTTGACGACCTTATAAAGGTCCATACTCCCGATCACGGTTGATCGTGTCCTTGGCTTTGAGTTCAGTCAGAAGGGGCGAGGCAGATAGGCTGTACTTACCACCAGGCAGTTTAAACACCGGCGGTACGATTTTACGCTTGCTTGCCAGTAATACTAGCTGAAGAGAAATACATGCAGCAGAAATGCTGATTCCTTGGCCCAGCTATCGTGGTAGAAGGGTGACGGGATTTGAGCCTCGGCTTGGCATGCGCAGTACGATTGCTGTGTTGTGTGGCGAGTGGCTTGTTGAACATTAAACACATGAGGACAGTATCGTGGGTCGGTTT